TATGAGAACCAAGAAGGCTGTAGAAACAAATAATAAATGCCACTACTAAAATGAAGTATGTTTTTATAAGCACCGCCCATAATAGTTAAGGGCTATTATTTTGTGTCCATAGTAAGATTAAATTTACGAAATCTATCGTAATATATTCATCCGATCAGTTTATGTCGTGTAAAGGTTTCATATACGGATTTCAAGAAAATTTATATATTTTATAAAAATATTAGACGCTTTGGAAAACAATGCTAACTTTCCGAGTTTTCTATTTCCTCTTTTTTAAATTATTGGCACTACAATAATGTTACTTATTCTAATATAGGAGACTGTACAATTCCTGATAAAGATATACATTTTTTTTCTTTATTTAACCTGGGTCGTATTCTCTTATGCACCGCATTGGGAGGCAGTTTGTATAGATTTTTATTAACTATGCAACACCACTTTTGTAAATTATGAAGCAAATTTTCCGCTTTTACTTTATGTGTGTATTTTCTGCAAAAAATATGTTTGTCATTAATTATAACTCGGGACAGTAATTTCCACATTAACTATTTTAATAGCCAAAAAATAAATTAATTACAATAAAAGAAAATTATGATGAGATATCATTCCACAAAAATTCTAAGTATTAGTTTAATTTTTAAAACATTTATTACTATTTTCGACCGCCTCAAATTTTGCTATAATATCAAGTGCAATATATCATAACAGTCTCGATCAACATATCGGAGACTAATAAATTATATTGGTCAGAGACTGGCGCAAGATTTATTACTTCAATTAAACTGATTTTCGTTAAATCGCTGATTTAATAAATGATAACGTGCACCGTGCTCTGTTACAGAATTTAATTTTACAGCCTCCGCTTTCACATACATTCGTATCGTGCTTTCATGGAGAATAACGTGATGGTGGTGACAAGTTAAATTCCAGGTATACACTATTTTCCCTGGTAATTTGTAAAATACTCGTACAATGTTAAAAGTTGCCCGTTACGAGGGTAATGCTGTTTTACGAGCACATCGGGTTATTTTCGAAGAAATAGTCACGAGGGTGATTCATATAAGCGTAGTGTGTACGTACAGAATAAGAGGATTTTCTTGTAAGCAGTAAAACTCTTTTAGCAGATTGAAACTCACAGATACTTTAGAAATCCCAATAGCTTCATCTCTGACAAAACTTTCACGAGGAAGTATATTACGTGAAAGTTAGGTGGAATACGACTTGAATTCAATTTGCAGGAGCAACTAACTATAAACATCTGTAGTCTGTGGTAACGAATACACAAGTTATGTACTTGTTAAACTACAAATCTAAAATAAGTAATTCTTGCCGATATGCATATTGAGTTGTGAAAATTATTTGCTGTTTAAGATCTGACTTCGTTTAGTTTCAAAGATAGGTTGGAAACAGCTGCAAATTGATATACAGGGTGTCAACATGTTAATCATACGCATTTAACCCTTACTTTCTACTTTTTAAGACAGTGTAATTGTTTTTAATTTTTGTTATCTGTCGAATCGCGTAATTCTCTTAAGAATAAACAATAAGAGGCACAAATTTGGGAACCAATGGTGCTGGTATTAATATTTTTTTAATGAGTACTATATACCAGATAACACAATGAGTTTTAGAAACAAATTATTAGGCAGAAGTTGTTATCTCCCGTAAGTTAAATAGGCGGTTAAAATTTCCTGCAGCCTGCAGACTTACAGGGTGGCCTCTGTCTTTGCCATTTTATGTTTAGAGCATTATCAAAGTTGCGCAGTAGTATATCAGGTCTGTTCCAACAAGAGTCAGGGATTGGTTCCCAACCGTTAGAAATGTTTGGCCAGCTAAGTTCTAAATGTGTCTTCACTGAATATATCGCAAGAATTAGTTGGATGCACATTTCAAACAGTTCGGAACCAATTCCTGACTCATGTTGGAACAGACCTATTGTGAACAATTCTTTTCTGCTTTAAAAAGTATGCCATTGGGTTCCTATATTATCCGGAAAAAAAGAAACGCTGAAATAGTCAATTTTTTAATGTAACTGTGTAAGAAAAGTTAAAACACAGACTTATATGTAATGTTACATAAAATTTAATATCTTTTCTCCAATTTTATGTCTAAGATTATATTCGAAATGTTACATACATTTTTTCAGAACTAATATCTGATTGTGTGCTTATTTTTCTTATTTTATAGTTATAAATATTTATGTGAATGGTTTTTGTTATTTAAGAAATTGTGTACCACATTTTTTACAAATGCTATAATTTTTTTCTCTACGATACTAATGAAAACAAGTTTTAATTTTAGAAATATTTAAATTTTATCATTGAAATTGAATTTGAATTGAATTTTTATCATTGTGCAAACAAAAAGAACTTTTGGGTCCGTAGCCATTTAAAATAATTATTAGGTACCGTTTCACATAATTATAGTAATCTCGAATTGGTGCGTAGGCCATTGAGACCATTGATATAAAGTAAAAATATAGATAACATGTTGACTGCAGAACGAATGTTTGACAATGGTTTTCCAGTTGATGAAGGTCGTGACAGGTCTTTGCATTATCATGTACTGTATATCTAATCGAATAATTGGATGAATGATGCACATTGAGGGACGAACAGCTGTATCCAATTCATATATGAAAAGTCTTTGCCCTGCTATAACATTATACTTTACGTGATACGTTTGTAACTGGTTAACAAATTATCAACAAGGCTAAAACATCCCTACTACGGTTTTATTCTCATACGAAACTATTTTTACCCACAACGGAATTTTTAATTTCCACTGATTTATTGTAAATACCTTGTTGTGCGTTGTGTTATTCTTCACCACTCACCAGACTGTTATAAAACTATTGACTGAACCATATTAATCATATTTTTTCGAAAATGATCCTCCATTTCCTCGTGAAAAATACTTCCTTATGTAGGTCGATGAATATGATTCTTTTCTTTATTGTTTGGGCATTTTACAACCTATAAAAATTTTTAAAAATTATTGAAATAAATCTGCTCCAAATTTTTTCATAGGTGGCAAAATACCAAAAAATAAAGAAAAAACCTGAAAATATGCTACAACTTCAGACAATATCAATGGGTATGATATTTACATGATAGAGCTCCATCTCATGACCCTGGTATTGTATATATAGCGTTCTCATTTTCCGGACTTCAATTCTTTATACTTTTACTTCTGGGTATAGGTATGTATAAAAAACTGCATCTGACTGAAAAATCAATGATATTGAAGGAAATCTGCGGATTGAAACTACATTATAGACTATTAAATAGTGATTGGACATTTTGTAAATGTACACGATTTTTTAATTTGACAAGTTTGCTTATGTATTGACGAATGTGGTGGCAACAGCAATGCGACATATCGTTCTCTCTCGATTCTAATATTTTTTGTTAAGTAAAACCTGTATTTATTCATTTTTTTTTTAGTTTTTTTCGTCATATAGTTTAACATAACAATATAAAGTTATTCTTAAAAAGAATGTAAATATGTAAAATATTATGTAAACATAAAAAATTAATAAAATAATGTTTTTTTTGTTTTTCATATTTCTCTGGAATTCCTCAAAACATAAATGATAATAATATAATGATGACGAGTTTACTGGAAGCTTCACAAATAAGACTTTTCCATTACATTTACATTGGCAATATAAACATATGATGGTGTTCCTTTGGCTATAGTTTTTCTGCTATCGTTCATTGCTAACAGGAAACACTATCTTAAGCCCGGTCCAGACGCTAGGTTTTGCGCAACGTTTTACTTGCTCAGTGATAAAACGGAATGAAAACGTTGCAAGTCAAGAGCCTCCATACAGTGCAGATATGTCTGTATTTATTTACTCAGTTTTCGCGGAATCGTCCATGGACAAAGCACAGCTCTGGTCAATTTTTGTAAGAAAGAAAATATAAATATTTTTTATAATTGTTTCTCTATTTGCTACAGCTTCAACCGCTGAATTTTTCGATAAAAATTTCGTACGTCTAGCTTTTCTTGTTTCTGTCGCTATCTTCCTTTGATTTCGCATACCAAAGACACGGGAAACTTTTATACAGGTCAATAGATCCTGTATAAAACTCACGGGAATATTGACGAAGGTCTGCCATTTTGCGATAATTTACCTATTCAAATAACAAAACGCACAGACTTATTTGCGCAGTTGGCGGATAACTGTGCCCATCGTCTCAGTTTTCCCGTGCGGTGTACCGTCTCCGCGCAGGTCTCAGAACTGTATAGTTTTCCTGTCTTGTCTGCAACGTCATGAACTGCGGTAAAACGTTGTGCAAAACCTAGCGTCTGGACCTGGCTTTACAGTCAGCAAAAGCATTTGTAACGACATTAGATGCCTAGTAAATAGATCATTTGTCAGTAGCATCACCAGACAGTTTGACCCTGCAGATGGCCTAGATATTGAATAGCGGTAACCATTTCAGATATTGACACACTTTATTGGTTATATATCTTACCCATACTCAAATTATGTCAAAATATGTAGCTAGATTATTTATTGATTGTCTCACCTATGACATAACGATGAAAACTAGTGCTGGTTCTACTGACGAATGAGTTTAGTTGGTGCGGGCTTTAGTCTGCAGGCAGTTCTTTCCCACAATATGATTAGTTAAAACTTTGTTTCTCCTGGTACAACACTGATATTTTTCGCATAGTAACTACGGATTATAAGGGCGCTCTCCGCCAGTTCGGTCGTATTGAAAGTCTAGGCATCGAAGAGCAGTGACCATCTCAAATGCAACACACTATACCTCGTTTATAACAAAGTATACGTTAAATATTTTACTTGCACCTTTTGAAAAAAGTTATTTACAAGATGGGAAACGTTCCTATTCTAGAACCAAAGCAAAAACACAGCAATAAAGCTGTTTCTTATGTGGTAATGAATACTTCTTATAAAGTTTCTGTAAATTTGAAGTTCGTGTTTTAGTAATGACAGCGTTTCCTGAAGAATATATTATTTGTTGCAGGTAATTTCGGAATATTGTAAGAGAAAGCAACAGAATCGCCCTTTCTCTCACATAGTAATGGATTTACATCAGGAGGCTATGGCCGCTGTAGAACTGGCAATGGATACACCTTGGGGTCCTCCTGCTATGCCCGAATTAAGGCCTAGAACAAGAAACAGGTATTTTATTTCTTTTGGTACCTGCAGTGAAATTAGTTAGAGGGTTAGAGCTAATATTGTAATTTTGTGAATAAATTATTGCATGTTTTTGTACTTTTTATGAATTCTACTACATGTAATAAGAATTAGCTGCTGTGTCTATCACATTTTTTTTACACTTATAGAACAAATAAACAGTTTAGAAATAGTTCAAAACACGTTATCTTTATGATATACATTTGATCACAAGAAGAGAAGATTTAGCTTAATATAAAGACTGAAATATTGATACAACTGCGTAAAGTAATCTTAGGGGATAGGATACTACCATGACTAAAACAGGATACTTTACATATGAATTACAAAGAGAGCAATGTATATAATATTTTCCTACAATTGTTCACAATGATGCTCCAAATTGTTCTAAAATGGTGACAAGAAAAATTCCTGCAAATAAATAATCATATAGTTGGAATAAGGATTTTGTTTAACTAGTAGGTAACAATGGGTACAATTTTATCAAAGTTATTACATAACGACTATATAAAAAAATGTACAGCATTTTTACAAAAATTTTACAAAAAAAGTTATTATACAGAGATTAGAAGATGGAGCCTTCCTAACTGATTACAAGCCACATCACTGCCGAGCTTAGGCAACCAACATTGCACAACTGGTACTGTCAGCTAACCTTCCCAAAATCTTAGCGTCATCAATATTAATGATTAATTTACAATGAACAATAACAAACCACAAACAATGACAAACTTGTTTTAATAATTTTTTACCGAAATCAAATTGCCAACGTGAAATAAAATTATTGTTTCAAACAAATCTATGGGTCACGTGGCTTGTATCTGTATGTATAAAGCCGTTTCTAACAGGAAGAGGAATTGTGTATTCACGTTGTAAAAATTTTAATATGTATAAATAGTCGTGACAACAGTATAATCCTGTAGAAATAATAGTACGTTATTTAAATAGTTGTAAGAGATAATAGTATTTTTCTTTAATTATGTTTGCGACGTCAGTTTCAATTTGCAGTTTTAAGTTACGTTTAAATTTTTAAATTCTAAATTTAGCAAAACTACTGAACCAGAAATGCCAGTTAAAATATAAATATTCAAACAATTTCGAGTCATAAGTATCGAGAAAGGAATTAGTACAGGAATAATCAAGTAATTAAAAGAAATGGGTAAAAAAACAATATAGAATTTTCTCTAAATCTGAGTTATGTACAAAATAGAAAAATATGGGTTTTTCCTTTCAATTTACTGACGCCACAAATATAGTAAATATTGACAGTTTTTTTACTAATTTCTACACAAACTTGTTGGGTCAAATATTGTTAAATGTAAAATTCGTTTTATCTTTCAAACAATATCCACATTAAAAATTTTACATCGCATTTAAACTTACCTCAATGAAATTGCACTTTGTATACCTATGTATGTATTTTTAAGTTAATTATTTACAATTACAAATAGAATAACAAAACAATAGATGACGTCACATAATTAGCTACTGTAAAGTATTTTTATCTAGTGCAACGAATTAATGTTATACACGAATAGGTAGTAATTAGAAAATTATTGTAAAATTAATAAATTTATTTCGAGGTCATTTAACAGATTTGTGCTTAATTTTCGTTGCATTTGCAATAAAACTTTAGTCAAATATAAACTTGTTTTTGAGATCGTAAGTGATGTAGCAAGCAAAATGTTTGTAGTGTTTAGTACAGTCACAGAGCGCAACAGCTTTGCGACCGAAAGAACCTTTCAAATGTCATTTGCACATAATAAAAAACCATAGACCTTATAAACTACAAAAACAGACAATTTTTAGACATCTGCTTATCTTCTAGGATATTTTTTATTCCATTTTATTAGTTATTATTTTTTAATAGGTTATAAATAAATTGATTATTATTGCAATAGATTGTACAATATAGTAGGGGGAAATACTCAACATATAAAACTGCCATCAATATAATATGTATCATATAGAAAAATTTTATAACTTAAAAAATGTGTCAAATTACATACTGAAAAATAACCAGGTGACTGTCAAAATTAACATTTGAAAATGACGTTATTTTTCCGAAATTCGAAAAGAAACGTCAATGAAAAATTATACTTTTTACACTTGTACAAATTTTGTATTAATTTTAAAATTAGAACATTTTTGTTATAACGAAATATAAATAAAAAACTCTATAGAACCATTGGCTAAATATTTTTTTAAATATAGGTATATTGTTTTTCATTCATTAAATGTGATGTAAACTTTATCTGATTTCTAAAGGTAATTTATTATCAATGCAGTAGATTTATAAATTATTAATAAAAAAGTCTATTATTTTCAATGCCTTCTTAGTTTGCCTATTATCAACATATTTTGAAAAATAAACACTTCTCTCAAGTTTAAAAATATATGCACATTAAATAATTGTTTTGTCCTACCAATTTGTATTGATAGATACTCAATAATTGTGATTAATGCATGTGTTAATAGTTTCCTAAAAACATTCTGCGGTGTGTGATCATGTTTATAGTACAATACGCGATTTTCTGTATTTCAACAGGCATGCAAATTTCAGGAAACGTAAGATAAACGTACGAGGTAAAAATATGTTATTTTTTTCTTTATTTTGAATGTATTGTCAGTTGTCTTATATCATGAAGAAAACTTAAATAACTGGTGCAGTGAAGAGATATTGTTCCTAACTTGCTTCGATTTTCTAAAATGCTGGACAAAAAGCTGTTCATATAAACGTCCCCCTTAATGTATATATTAATTTAAAGCCGGCTGCAGATGATGGGGTCATTTGCCATGTATTCATCAAACAAATTATCAAATATTTGCAAATTATTTTGACAAAATCGCTAGCACCAACAAAGACGTACTCAACACAAAGACGTGTGTACTCAAATCGTAAACCTGTTGCTTTAAGTATATTCAAGCATCTATATTCGCAAATACTTAGTTTAAAGTGTGATATAGTTAATATTTGTAATTTTTCTATCAATGTTTAGAACATAATACATTTTAAAAAATTGTTAAAAATGAATTCATTTAAAAATTCTTAAAAATGTTTTTACAAGTTCCTGTGACACTTGTTCAAAAACTCAATATTAGTAGTATTGCATACCCTTAACATTATACCTACCCTACCTAAAGCCCTATTAGGTTTGCTTGACATTTATTGACAAGAAACTTGTGTAGTTTTTTAAATACTTAATTAAACTTCACATTAAAGATACTTAAATAAAAAATCTAACAAGAAAGGTCCCATTGTTCCAAGCCGATAAATAACACCGCGCCACAAAAAAAGTACCTGGTCATGTTTCTTTCGAAAAATTAACAAACACTTTTTACTTAAAATTATATGTAGGTTTCAACAATATTTTTTATTTTTCAATATTTAAAAATGTTTAATATCGGTCCGCCATATTGGATCCGCCATCTTGAATTTTGAAAAAGTAACATTGGATTCGGAATCAACAACCTCGAAAACTCTTTTAACCACAACACATTTTTTAAAGTCTGTTTTCGTTGCAAGCACGACACAAATAAATAGATTAAAATGTTCAAATATTCATGATTTTTTTCTCGGAAAATACACTTCTAATGGAAAAATTACTAAAGATACTTTTTACTTAAAATTTCATGTAGAATTCGACAATATTTTAAAATTTTTAATTCCCGGTCCGACGTCTTGAATTTTGAATATCTAACGCTAGATTCGAAATCAGCGACCCCAAAAACGTATAAGAATGGTCAAATTTTTTGCATTAACTTTTTTTCGCGATATGACCTTGGATTGACTTTGACCCTAACCTGATCGGGTTAGACGGACCTCAAGTTCGGATTCAGCGACTCCAAAAACATATAGACATCATAGTCTGGTCTTTCGGACCAGGTACTTTTGTTTGGCGCTGTATAATAATCATTGAACGAAAATGCTGTCAAATGTACCCAGTCTGGGTATTCAGCACCTTGGGGATTCGGCGGCTATGAACGCCATGTAGTGTCATACATAAGACGTATATTTGTGAAATATGAGCACATGACTTTTGTCTTCTCATAACATTCATCCGGTAACAGTTAGGTAAATACGTGTTTTCGAATGTATTGATATGCACCACCCACACGATACGTCATTTGTCTACATTCTACAATAGTGTGCTCTGGCGACCATACACACATATTCGCATACAGTCCATATCATTCTGTATTTCTTTACATTTGGCCGATAATTAGCACTATTTGGAGCCGGCTTGATAAGAAATCAAGCTAAACTGGTTTTTGGTAGCTTGAATACATTTTTATTTAGTTATCTTCAATTTTCACTGAAAAAAATCTATACCAATTTTTAACCGTAAGAACTTATTTAAACAGCAGCATAAAAAATAAATAACTTTATAGAAGGACTGAAAAATATAAAATCGAAAAATCTACAGCTTTGAATATTTTTCGAAATTTTGGGATATTATGTCATTTTTGGCATTTGAAAAAAACTGAATGTGTCAATAATAATTCAATTTTTGTAGCGTTTAATACACATATACATAAATTACAAGCTTTTCGAAAAAAGATAAAAAGACAGAAAATTTTTATATTTTACAATTTATAATACGAATTTTAGTATTAATAATATTTTAATTGGGATATTTAAAATGTAACGGAATATAAAAAAATCTATTGTCAACAGCGGAATGAGCCTTTGAAGTTGAATAATGTTTTAAATAATTTTTCTTAATGAAAAACTGAAATACAAAGTGAGATCCAAAGTAAACAGAACTTTTCGAAAATAGATATTTCTAGTAAAGCCATTTATTAGCAATTACATGTGTTGGAAAGGCAGACTCTTCATTGAAGTACTATCAAAATTTTATGACATTTGAACGAATAGAATCTAAGTTATCGCGTCTGAAGTGACAGTATATTTGTGTCATAGGTACAAAAATGAGCATCGAGCAAAGAGCTAATATTAAGTTTTGTTTTAAACTTGGTAAAACTTTTACCGAAACGTTTCAATTGATGAATCAAGATTATGGTAATGAATGCTTATCCTGTGGCACAGTTTACGAGTGACGCGATTTAAAATCGGTTGTGAAGACATAGGTAAATGATGAGCAACATGTTGACCAAACGAAATCCGTGACCACCACACATTCCACCGCAACTGTGCGTAATTCATCAAAGATCAGCTAAAACCTTCATTGAAATTCATGGAATTGCAATTGAGCATCTCAAAAATATCGATTTATCGCATTTTGGCTGAACATTTTGGCTACCGAATTGACTGATGACCAAAAATTGCTAAGAACTTCCATTGCAACGTTGTGACAGGTGACAAAACGTGGTGTTTTTAATATAATTCAGAAACCAAACGCCAAAGTGCCGAGTGGAAGGTGCCAGACGAGCCAAAACCCAAAAAATCTCGTTTGGAGAAGTCAAAAATGAAGACAGTGTGGATTTGCTTTTACGATTCCAAAGAAGTCGCTTGTTGCACGATAATGCGCCATTGTCATCGATCGACACTCGTGGCCGATTTCTTTTATCAGAAATCGCAACTGTCAACCCCTCCCCGTATTCGCCTGATTTTGCAGCGTGCGACTTTTACCGTTTCGGAAAAATGCATTTGTCGATGATAGGAAACCGATTTGTGGACGGTCTACGTCCAAAATACTTGTACCGACATTCTGAAGGATATTTCTACCGACGATCTAAAACACTCATTCGACATGCTTTGAGACCGTACAAATAGCTGTATTGAGTCGGGGTCTATTTTGAATAAAATCGATTATCATAAAAAAACTTATTCTATATTTTTAAAAAGTCCTGTTTACTTTCGAACGCGCCTTGTATATACTGAGCATTCATTAAATGTGATGTAAACTTTTCCTAAATTAATTTCTCATTACGTGGATAGATTCATAAAATAATAACAAAATTATTATATTCAAGGTCTTCTTAGTCTACGTGCTGTTAACATCACTTTTTTAAAAAAATAGTAATTGCCATAACTTAATAAATTAGGATAAAATGGGTTTTGAAATATGTTGTTGAAATATTGCATAACATAAATGAATTTTTATACAATCGTTGTAGATTTTCATAAAAAAAATTGATGGTTTTAGCCGCAATAAATTATTTAAGCACCAATATTAAAAACAAATAACTTTATTGAAATTATTTATTCTGTTAAAAATATGTGTGGAGAAATAAATGTAAAATAAAAAAAATTAGACTGCTGAAGAGTGATATGAACATAAAACAGATATAGAATACCACGTGATCATATAATATGCAATTTTTAAGCCACAATAATTGGCAAAATAATTGTTTTATATATATATTTAAAAATATTAAAATATGCCGCGTACTTTGCCGTCGACACTGTATAAGTTAGGCCTATCTGAATACTTATTTGGTTACTGTCTGTTGCTGCTCCAATAAATAATTCAATTTTTGTAGTGCATATACAAAGTATACATAAAACACAAGTATTTCGAAAAATAGAGATTTTATTTAGAAATATTCCGTACACGAACTGGACTGGAAATTAAAATCCAGACATGTAAAGGTATTCAGTCTATTTACGATTTAAATATTCCTCTAACGACGCCAATGCTCAGCATAAATAATAATGTGGAATTACCTGGCCAGACAAATAGGCAATTAATTCGTTTGTTTCCTCGTTTCAGATGCGATTCCACCGCCGATGGATTTGGTACAATTCCGCGGAGGTGGATGGGCCTGACCCGCAACCACGATGTCAATTTTCCGAAATTAACGAAGGAGGCGAGCACCAGCATGGAGGATTTGCATTTTGGTATGCAGGTGACGAACACCCCGGGCAACGTGCTTCGGCCTAAATCCATGTGTGTCCCAGACACCAGGTATTACCAGGAAATTGACGATTTCCGAGTCAGTGAAAGACTTAATAGTGAGATTAATTTAAATACACGAGACTGTGTTAGTGGTAATTATTTATTTGGTGCGTCCGGTCAGGCGTATGGTGATAAGGGATCGAAATTTTCGAGGCCTGGCAATGGAAACGATTTGGTAAGTTATGCCAAAATAAATCCCATAGGGTATAAGTACCTTCGAATGTATGTCCTCACATTTCCAATTAATTACTTACCTAATGAGAAATAATAGTGTCAATTGCGATATCACTATACGAGTAACAATACATTTTCATAAAGTAAACTTTTTATCACCTAAATTTACTTACCTGTATTAAGTTGTTTGGTGTTCTTTCGATAATTCCTGAATATACAGAGTGTACGGTAGCGAATAGGCTATACGTTAAGGGTAGCTTCCTAGGTGACAATATATCTATTTAATTCATGTTAAAAAAAATTTTGCTTTTTTAAAATGCTAGTGGCCTTTTTTACAATTTCAATTTTTTAAGACGACTCCATTACCTTTAAGATATTACAATGAAATTTGATATGAACGAGTTTCGAGCATAGTCAAATATGAATACGTTTTTACTCAAAAATATATAGGGTGCTCAAAATACCTTAAATAATCAATCTTGTTTTTTCCACATTTTTTTGGTAGATATTTTGAAAGTATTGATGACACCTCATTTTATGGGCTATAAAGAAGATGTAGTTGTTACATGTCTATAAAACGTTCCGTCCAGAGAAAATTTGATTTAATTTGCTACATTTTAAGAGTATTGTAATACAACTAAACTTCACGCTTTTGTTAAAGCAACTAAATATTTTTTACGATTTAAAATAAATTCTATTAAAATCTATTAAGAAGTCTGTGTCTACTACTGGAATATAGGTATCTATACAGGGTGTCCGGTAAGAACCTCCTAATCTCTCGGGAGTGTATAGGGAAGGTCAAAATAAAACTAGTCCTTCCTATAATTTTTTTTCCTAATGTGCCCCCTAACGGAGTTATGGGGGGTCAAAGGGGTACCTAGAAATTAACGTTTAGGGTTATAACTTTGAAACCACCCTGTATATTTTAATAAAATTTTCGTACGTTGTATTACACATGGAGCTCTACGATTTGATGCTAAAATCAACTTTTTGCTATTATCAGGTGTCCAGAAACGGACTGGCCCTATCACAATTTTTCTCAAAATTTTGACAGAAGTAATTTTATCAAACTGAAAATATTATTATTAGATACTCTGAAGGTTTTTCTTTAAAAATGGTACTCTTTATTTATTTCGAAAAAATGAACGGTTTGCGAGATAAATCGG